CAGGGGGATCACCGAAGGATTTTGTTGAAATGCAGATTCTGAGGCAGTAGGTCTGAAACTCTGAATTTCTGCATTTCTAAGTTCTCAGGTGGTACTGATGCTTGGTCTGGATAACAGAGCCTCATACCACCCCTCATCTGTAGAAGGATCTGGTAGCACCCACCTCAGAATCTGGCCTGAAGTGAAAGATGTTGTTAATTAAAGGAGAACCACACATCTGACTGAGGCTAGGATGCTGGGTGGACCTCAGCTTGCCTCATCTATGACGTGTGTGATTCAGATGTCCACCTCAGCAAAACGATGTGTGAGGGACCTTCAGACTTACTCTTACAGAGCTGGGATCACACACTCCAAATCCATGAATGCCAAAGGTCTGGGCTCTTTGGGCGTACCTGTTCTCATTTGCATCAGACCCCCACAGGTCTGTCAGTTCACCAGCAGCTACTAGGAGCTCTGCCTCACGGTGCCTGACGAGGGTGTGTGAAATGGGCCTCTCCTTTGCAGTCTGACAAGATGACACAGATCTTACTCCATCTCTGACGTGTTTGGCAGGGATGGGGAAAGAAAATGGGTTGTGCCAGCCCCAGGATAAGCAGGACTGAGAGGAGCTAGAAGAGATGGAAGTTGAGCCTCTCTGAGGAAATGACTCTGAGGAGACAGAGGTCTCTGTCTCCCCCGGGGACAGGTAGAGCTGGACAGGCATCCTGGGACCACCTGTGGAAGGCTCCTTAAGGTGACTCGCTTCTGCAGTCAGTGGAGCAGAGCCCGAAGGGTGTCCCCTCAGCCCTCAGTCCCTGCCCGTTGAATTTTTATGAAGAAGTCTAGCCAGCGCTGTGCAGTAGAACCCTCAGCAGTGTTGGCAGTGCATCCAATCTGGGAACCACTACCCACCTGTGGCTGTTGACCTGCTGCGGTGTGACTCAGGCCACTCAGAAATTGGATTTTTCATTTCATTTCAACTTACATGATGTATGTGTAGTATTTATCACATGCATCTGCTCCATCCATCCTGCCCCTTCTCCACTTAGGCCCACACTGAGGTGCTCAGGGTTCGGTCAGAGGAAGGTGCTGGCAGAGGAGGGAGAGGGTGGGGGGATGACCAGTGGATGTTCCAGTTTTCACAAGCAAGCCCACAACTGGCCTGATTCCAGCGGTTTCCAGCTGCCCCTCTTGCCATGGGATATCTGGCAAGGCTATGCCCCGAGCCTGGAGCTAACTCTGGAGACCACTCCTGGTCCCGTGTTGAGACCCAGCCAGGCCCCACTTTTAAACACACAAGTTCTCCCGTGAATCCCACCACCACCTTTTGGTTTCCCAGTGTGAGTGCTCACGTATGCCTGTGTCTGTATGCACACGTGTATATGTAGGGGTGTGTGTATTTCTATGTCCAGAGCTGACCACATCTCAGCCCTCAGCTTCCTCCATGCGACGCCCCCCCTCCGTCTCTATACCCCGAGCCGCTCCACCCTTCCCGTGAACCATGTTGCTCTAAGTTCCCACCTCAGTTTCTCATAGCCCAATGCCCCCAGCTGACAGAAATGCTGATCTTGTCACACCCAGCAGCTGCGTGCAGAAATGCTACTGCAAGCCACAGCGGGCTCAGCAGCACTCTTGCAAGATGTCAGAACTGTCCACCATTACTCTGTAAGTGTGCGTGGCGTGGCTGTGGCCGGGTGTGCTGGATGGGAGGGGGACGCATGCTGCTGCCTCCTCCACCTGGAGCTCCTGTCTGCCCAGGCTGTAGGAGAGTGGGGAGTGAGCCTGTGCCTCCAGCCCTGAGCCCTTGCCCGGCTGTTGCATGTTGACATCTGTGCGTCTTGTGAGTTCTCTGCAACCCTGTGGCCTGGGGTGTGAGGGGAGGTGGCGGGGATGGGGCTGTGGATGTCATGGGAGCAGCTGGGGTGCAGCTGGTTCTGAGGAGGAAGCAGCTTGGAAGCCTCTGCCGATGCTGCTTTGACTCGTGGTCTTCCTCCAACCCCCCACTTCTCTGGGTTCTCAGCCTTTGCAGCTGTCAGATTATTTCTAAGAGCCTTGAGCTTGAATTCACTTAGACTGTCCTCTTGCGAGGGGCGGGACCCTCACCCAGGCACCTCACTCACACTTCGTGTGCTGAGTGACTTACTTCCCACACAAGCCTTTGAGATGGGTACTTGTATTATCCTCTGTTTACAGATGAGGAAACTGAAGCACAGAGGTGAAATGACTCACTCAAGGCCAGTAGTTGGCAGGGCGAGGAATTGAACCCAGGGAGTCCTAAGCACTAGACCCCAAGGCATCTCTAGCTGGAGCTTCAGCCCCTATTTGGAACGCCCTTTAAGTGGGGGATCCCACTGTCATTTGGGTGTCTCTGGCTATAGGAAGTTCTCCCTTGTGTTTCTTAGGCCTCTTCTGCCCATCGATGCCTTCTTGGGGCAGGAGGACAGAGGCTAAGGGCCTGTGTCACTGTCTCTCTGGCTTAATCAGATCATAGGGTGATTCTGTGACTCTCCAAGGAGGGGTTCTAAGGTTCAAACCTTATATCCCCATTCCAAAGCCTCTGGTCCCCACTCTGAAGGACAGAGGTCCTCAAACTCTGAGACCCAGTGCCTTCCTCATCCACCTTCACTGCTGCATCTATCAGAACGAGTCATTGGGATGCCTGGGTCCCTGGCAGAAGTCCCTCATTCTTTCTGGGCCTTCGCAGAGCTGCAGGGGAGGGAGGGCAGGGCCCTTGGGTTGCACTCTGGGATGCTAGGGGCTGGGAAGTGCCCGAAGGCTTGTTTCTCACATACTGAACCCGTCCCATCCACTGCCACGACAAATGCTGGAGAGGGTTGGCCTTTTGATTTCTAGGGCTTTCCTGGTGGCTCAGATGGTAAAGGATTTGCCTGCAGTGTGGGAGACCCAGGTTCAGTTTCTGTATCAGCAAGTCCCCCTGGAGAACAGAAAGGCAACCCACTCCAGTATTCTTGCCTGGAGAATCTCATGGACAGAGGAGCCTGGTGGGCTACAGTCCATGGGGGTCACAAGAGTCAGATATGACTGAGCGACTAACACTTTCACTTGTCACACTGCACAGACAGATCCCTGGAAACAGACCCATTTGGGGAGAGGAGAAAGGAGGCCAGTTCCCTCCTTAACTCCTTCAACTAAGCTGCTCTTTAAAGTAACCTCTTTAGTCAGGGTCACAGAGGGGCCCTCGAGATGTCCAGGCTCCTGTGTTTCCAGACCGCTTTGCTTTTCCTTCTTCAGCCAACACTCCCTGCTGTCCTCTGGGGCGAGGCTCTGGGTTCCTGGAGACGCGTGGGACCCGGGCTCCCGGGTCATGCCCAGTGTCCAGGGCTCTGAGGTGTATCATCTCAGGCCTGTGTGGTTGTCCCTCCACGGACGCACACTTTCTGAGCACGGGCCCCATGCCTGGCAGGCGCTGGCCAGGGTAGATGACAGATAAGTGAAGCACCACCCCTGCCGTCAAGGAGCCACTTCTGAGAGAGGACAGAGAGAGGAGAGGGGAGGTGAGAGGCTAGGGCACTCCGAGACCACAGCTGGGCTCTGAGTGGGGTCCTGTTGGCCCCCACTCTGGTCCAGGCACCCTCAGGTCCTGCAGAACTGGCCACCTTTGAGCATGTGGAAAATTGGTGGGTGCTGGGCCGTCGAGGGGCTCTTTTCCAGGACTGAGCCGTGATCCACCTGGAGGTCCCCCAGGCTGTTCCTCCTCCTTTCTTAGTGTACCTCCCCTCCGCTTCTCTCTCTTCCCTTCCCCATCCTTTCCCTCTGAGTAGGTGTCACTCAGACTCTGTGGACTGCTTCTTCTGAAAATCTGGAGCCCTCACATTCAGTGGAATAGTCTCTCCCAGAAAGGCTGGGGTCAGGAAGAGGGAGGGCACCTGGTGTAACTACCCCAGATTGAAGGGCTGTCCCCATCTCCTGCTGCCCACCTCATGGACTGACCTCTGCCAGGAGAGGGGGAGGCTGAAGCTCAGAGGGCCCCAGGAGGCAGACTACACCTGCAGGGTGGGGCTGGCTCTTCCAGGAGGTCCAAAGAGAACCAGTCTGCTGGGGTGGGTGGAGATGAGGTCCCCCTCTTGGAGACCCTCTGAGTGCCCCCCGCCCTGAGCAGGACCCACAGGAGTACACGTCACCATGCCTCCTCTTGATGTTTTCCCATGGCTTCTGCACCCCACCCTCTCAGACCACAGTGCCATCCCACTGGGCCCAGGAGCCAGATGCAGTCAGAGGAACCGAGGAGAGCTGGCCACAGGCGGGTAGTGATGTTCCTAGGGCCATTTCTCTCTTCCCTGTTCCACTCTCACCCCTGCAGAAAGCTTTCTTCACAACCTCTGACTCAGTTTCCCAGGTGTCAGGTTCCTCCTGCTAGATGGTGGTTGTTTACGTTCAGAGTCAGTAAATCCTTCCTAGCATCCCTCCCATGAATCTCCCTCTGTGCTCTGCCCCCCGGGCCCATATCCTCCCAGTGGTCAGCACCTCCCCACCACTCTCCATGAGTATCCCTGGCTAACCCCAGACTCAGAGAAGCTGACTGTCTCTGTGGTCCCCTAGGGCTGCTCTTTCCAGGCACAGAGAGCTTCTTTTCAGAGCTAAAAAATGTTTGTTTTGCTTGAGGATGCATCATGTTGTCTGTCCAAATCCCACTGTAGGATTTTGCCCTGACTTCATTTTTGCAGAGGGTTTCACACCTCCCCAGAGAGGTTTCTGTCAATCACATACTCACCTGTGCACGTTCAGTGGTTCCACGGGACACCGATGTGGCCTAGAGGGATAGTCACCCTGCAGACTGAGGGAGGTCTCCCCAGAACTTCCCAAGAAGTTCTGGAGGCTGGGGTTCTGTTGACCATCTCCCCCAGGACCCACGCCCTGGGAGAGAATCCTGAGGGCGTCCATGGGCAGGGGCTCCAGTGCTGGGGGAGAGGAGGGGCTGAGACTGTGGTTCTCTGCCCTGCACGGCTCCAGCCCCAAGCCCTGGCAGCCCCCGGAGCAGACGGCTTGCTCTTTCCTGACAGACGGCTCGCCAGGTCCACCCTGCTGCTCATCCCGCTCTTTGGAATCCACTACACGGTCTTTGCTTTCTCCCCGGAGAACGTCAGCAAGAGGGAGAGACTCGTGTTTGAGCTGGGGCTGGGCTCCTTCCAGGTAGGCGTGGTGTGTGTGTGGTGTGTGTGTGTGGACGGAAGAGCTTGTGGGGAGCCAGGTCCCTGGCCTCTACCTTGTTGGTGTCCTAAGTCATTAACCTAAACTCAGCTCTGAGTTCCCCCTTCTGGAATAACAGTACTAATTTAGAAGAGACCTGGGAGGGCCCTTCATACTATCTGCCCTCTCGGCTTCTGTGAGAAGACATGCCGGTGCTTTCATGTTGCTAGTGCATCTGGGAGTCCTGAGCCAGGCCTCCCTTGGGCCATCAGAGACAGCAGACAGCAGCTCCCTCTCCCTCAGCGTTAGCCCTGGGGATGGGTGGAGTGTCCTCAAGAGACCTCTCTGTGCACATCTGATTTCCCCTTCTGAGTGCTGGAGCTCTGAGTTATCCAGGTCGAGGTCCGCAGCACAGAATCTGGTCCCAGGGAGCTAAATGAGCTGAACAGGGGGATGAACACACAGTTACGTAAATAAGTGATCCAGGGAATAAGAAAACTAGAGGACTAGTAAGTCCGTTCTTGAAGGAATCAGCAGACAGGGCTGTAAATGAGTGAGTGAAGCAGAGTGAGTCGGTGCAAGGATGCATAGTGAGTACGTGAACAGATGGGTGCATGAGCGGGTCAGTGAAGGCAAGGTTGGCTCCCTTGAATGTCCCTAGGATACAATCCCTCTCCCAAGCCCAGCTCGTTAAAGGAGTATTTGACCTCGATAGTTGAAAAGTTATTCTGTGTATCTGACTTGATTCTCTCCCTCCTCCCATTTTATTTATTTATTTTTTTTTCCCCTCCTCCCATTTTAACTCAGTTGTTTTACCTGATCAGGTTCTTAGCCTGGCAAGGCTGAGGGGTTTATTGGCAAAGCCCCAGACTGGGAGTCAGAGCCTGGGTTCCTATCTCTTTAGCACAGGAATTCTAAATGCACAGAATAGAAGTCAAGAATATATGTAGAAGAGCCAAACACCTACTAGGTACCAGGAACTGCGTGGTGTTCTGTGCGTTCGATGTACGAAGCTGTCTGGCCCACAGAGTGGGGAGGTGGTGGAGGATAAAGACAGGGCTGTTCTGTCCTGAAGGAGTGCTGCCCTCAGGGGGCTTGCAGGCTGGCTTGGGAGCCTGGAGAACACTTTGGGGTATGTGGGGAAGGCCTCTTCTAGAAAGTGGGACAGAGCTGGCCCTTGAGAATGGGAAGGATTTGAGCAATGGGGAGTATGGGATCCAAAGCCAGGGCTATGAGTGAGAGGGAATGCTGCCACCAGCCACTTGGCTTCAGGGGTGTGGCCATCTCGGTGGAGGAGAACTTTGATTGTTTTACTGCAGGCTTCTGGGCAGGTGCTTGCATCTCGGTCAGTTTATTTTTCTGCCTCCTGGTGTCACTCCCCGCTCCTGCTGCCTCCCACACACCGCACGTGGGAGGTTCCTTGCTAGCATTCTCAGGTTCTGTTTGTTCTCTCGCCTTAGGGCTTTGTGGTGGCTGTTCTCTACTGTTTTCTGAATGGAGAGGTAAGTAAGATCCCGGCTTTCTTAGCGGTGGAGGTGCAGCTTGCTGGGGAGCAGACAGGAGTGTGACTGGCTGGCCACACAGGGTTGATCCTCCAGACCAGGGCTCTGCAGACTTCCAGCACCTACAGGAGGAGGATGACAGCCTCCCCCCAACCCCACCACCTTTCCTGGTGCCAGATTCCCTCCCAGTTTGCTGAGGCCCAGCCTCAGGAGCAGAGACCTTCCCATAAAGGCATCAACTTCTGAATGCAAACCCGCCTGGGAGGGCTCACCATAAGACAAACCTTAGGAAAGGTGAACTGAAAGTGAGGAAGGACAAGGCCACTGGAAATGGTACCTACAGTTCATTAAGCTGCTCTTGGGCAGGGGTGCTGAGCAGGGAGCTGTCCAATACTCGACACTGCCCCAGCACGCCAGCCTGCCTGCTCAGACCTGTCCCCTGTAGAGTGGACTTGATTGATCCTGGGGAGAGGCCTGGAATCTTCTAGTAATGCTCCCTTGCCAGGCCTCCTACTTTAGCCTGTTAGGATGATGTTTTGAGCAGAACCAGAGCAGAGATGCTGAGATGGGAGAGGGCGTTGAATGGGTGGGTGGCTTTGGAGAGTAGACAGAAGTCATTGCACCGAATGCTTGGGTCTTGGCTGCATGACTGTGGCAGGCTTCCCCTGATTTTGTATCTGAGAAATAAGACTTTCTCAGACAACCTACAGAGGGGTTAGATAAGGATAAAGAAAGATAGACAGGGCCCTGCAGGTAGTGGCTGCAAGAAACAAGAAGTCCAAGCAGCTTGTCAGGGCCAGTGGTGGAAGTGGGAGCTGGAACTGGAGGCTGTGGGTACTGGTGCCACACAGAGGTGCTGGGTGGAGGAGGTTGGCATGTGGACTCTGACACTGGGCATGCCCCGCATGCACCATACTAAGAGCAATGTGTTGGGAGTTCACCCAGAAGGGTGCTTTATTTAGTGATCCTCAACCCTAACAGCATATTGGAATCCCCTTGAAAACCTTAAAACATGTGGGAGCCCTACCCCAGAGATCTGGGTGTCATGGTTCAGGGGAATGGTCTGGGCATCTGGGTTGTTAAAGCTCTCCAGGTGATCCTCATCCACAGCTGCTGTTAATGGGCGTGCCCTCCTGGGAGGGGCCCCAGGGTGCCCAGATGGGTGGGTGGGGTGTGAGGGAGTGTCCACCCAGAAGTGACCACCTGAGTTGCCACCCACAGGTGCAGGCGGAGATCAAGCGGAAGTGGCGGAGCTGGAAGGTGAACCGCTACTTCACCATGGACTTCAAGCACCGGCACCCATCCCTGGCCAGCAGCGGGGTGAATGGGGGCACCCAGCTCTCCATCCTAAGCAAGAGCAGCTCCCAGATCCGCATGTCTGGCCTCCCGGCCGACAACCTGGCCACCTGAGCCCACCCCCCCTCCTCTCCTCTGTACACAGGCTGGGGCTACGGTGGGGTGCCAGCCCACGCATGTTGTGCCTCTTCTCTCCCTTCGGGCAGGCCCTGGGCTGGGCGCCTGGCCCCCCGAGGTGGGAGAAGGATATGGGGCACAGGTGGGTGTCTAGCCTCCCTGTTTTGGCGCTGGCCCCACCCACTGTGGGCCCCTGGGCCCTGACCCCAGACATGTAAATACTCCTTAATTTTGGGAAAGTCATCCCATCCCTCCCCCTCTCCTTAGGGTCCCTGCTAACCTCAAGCAGGTCCCCAGATCCACCCCACCCCCTCCCCACCAACCTCAGTGATCACCTGACCCTCTGTGGGAGGGCTCCTATGAGCTGAGGCTGCTGACCTGGCTTTGGAGGCCTTGGGCTGGGGCCTGCCTGACAGCTCCCTCCTGCAGTGTCTGATTCTCAGTCTGGACTCTTTGAGTCTACTTGCCACCCCGTGGCCCTTTTCAGGCCTGGTCCAGTCCCCGAGGTTACCGGAAGTCCAGCTTGGGTGGCCAGACAGCTTTTTGGTGCCGGCAGACCCATGCTCACCCAACATCTTGGTGTCCAGCTGTCCAGATGCCCAGCTCCTGGGCATCAGACAGTGGGAAAGCTCCAGGGATGTACCATTCAGAGACTTCCGTTTGGATGTAGTGCTAAGGCCAGAGAAAAGTTCTGGTGCTTTTCATTTGGCCCAAGAAAAAATTGCCAAGATCCAGAAAAGTGGATGTGAGTGGAATTTAGCTGCAAAGAGCTTGGAGGGATCCATGAAAGAAGACATTCCCCACCTTCATTATTTTACCCTGACTCCAGGTAGGCAAGGGCTCTTTTGGAAGCTTCCCTCCTCCCCATCCTGTCCCCAGGCATCACTTGCAGAAGTTTGAGAGATGGATGCCTCAGAGAATCTGCTCCCCAACCATACCTACCACACAGAGCCCCCAAGCCCTCCCTTTTCCCATTTCCCTTGAAGTCAAGCCATTACTAGGATGAACCAGCCGCCTTCCTGTGAATTCTGAAGCACCTTACACCTCCATGTGCCCAAGTCCAGGGACCGGGGCTCCGCTTCATGCCCGCTCACCCTCATGGACCATGAGGAGCCCCAGTTAGCCTCCGACTTGGGTTTAGCTACTGAAATCTTGAGACCTCTGCAGAGACTTCCCTCTGGCCATTGAGTCAGCATGGACGCCAGTGTGTCCTAGGGCTTGAGGGGGAGCTGGGAATCCCCACTCACCATGCCCGTTAGCAGAAGCTGCTGATGGGAGGGGTGACTGCACCCCGACTCCTGTCCTGATTGTCTAGCTGCAAGTTACCAGACCATGGCCTGAGAATTTAAAATGGAGCAGAGCCAGGTTCAGGGAAGGTGGAGGAAAGTGCTAGAGTGCCGTGGTCTCTATGTGGGACCCGCCTCACTTGTATCAGCTTGTGATGTTGCTGTCCAAGTGTTTTGTAGGCTTGTTTTGTGGTTGTGTTCTGAAATGCTTGGAGAGTTTGGGAGGATGGGGAATGTTGCTTTTTTGCTTGGCTTTATGAAGAGGAAGGGGCTCAACGGGCTTAGGGACCTGTTCCTCAATGCCTGTGAAGTGACTGGGGAAGGGCTTAGTGCTTGCTTTAGAGATGAACCCCATGTAAAGAGGGAGAACCGGCCTGCTTGCCCTGCCTGGGCATACTTGGCAACTCAGGCTGACCATGGGGTATGTGGCAGCCCTTCCATCCTACACCTGCCTTGTGATGCCCTTCCGCCTGTCTGAGTGCCTCGTCTATTACCGGAGGGGCTGTTCTCTGGCCACCTTGCATTTAAGGCACTGTTGGGAGACCTGTTCTTGTCAGGTTGGAAGGGTTCACAGACTTCAGTTCAGAGAGACAGCATCTGTCCCAGTTGGGCTCAGGTGGCTGACATGGTGGACATAGCGCTCCCTGTTCTGGGCCTCAGTTTCTGCATTTGTGGGATGAGGTGGCTCCCAGGGCTTCTCCAGGCTCTGTGCTCCAGTAATTCTCCGGTTCAAAGCCAAGGCAGGTAGAAGGGCACTCATCATTGTTGTGTGTAGCGCCTATAGTTCTGATGTGTCTGTGTTTGTGTACGTGTGGAGGGAGGGAGGAATTCTGTATATTTTCTCTTTCTTAGAAAAGGGACACCTCTCCCTTCCATTTGGACCCCACAGTGGAAGCTGGCGGGCCGGAGGGAAGGCTCAGGCCAGGGACAGTCGGGCAGGCTCCTGTGGCACCGTATGCAGACTCCTCCATGTTCCGGCCGGGCCAGGGTGCCACGGCTAGATGGGCAACAGCTCCTCCCAGGTCCTAGGAGCAGTCCCTGAGTGTGGACCCTGTTTCTTTATTCTCATGCCCACCAGCAGGCCTGTTTCACCATGAAGAGGAGGCTTTTATTTTATACATCTATCATCACAAAACAGCAAAAACAAAATTCACCCTGAATCCCCATGCCAGGCTGCCACCTGAGCCCTGAGCCCACATCCTCGTAGAGGCTCCAGGTTCCTGTTGGTTGGTTTTGCTCTCTGAACAAATGCTTGCCAGCCTTGTGAGCAGAGGCAGTGGATGTATTTTGACTGCTCCAGGAGGATAGGCAGCTGTCCTTCGGGGTCACGGCAGTGGGGGATAGTGTAAGGTCTGGGTGTAACCCTTCCCTCTCTGACCTTTGTTTTTTCAAATTTGTATAATGGGCCAAAAGACTAGACAGTTTGTGTAGCCCACTGGATCTCTGAAGTTCTTGTTGAAATGCCAGCTATCTACTGGGAATGGCTCCAGGCAAAGACTGCGGTGTTTGCCTGGGCCTGGAACAGGTAGGGATCATGCTGAAGGATGAGGGGCTGAAGGGCCTTGGGAAGGGTCAGGCTGGAGAGCAGCAGAGTTATCCGACTCCATGTCTCTAGAAGGGGGCTGTTATTGTTCTGTGCAATCCTGAAGGACAGAACTTGTCCGGGGAGGCTGTTTTCCTTGGGATGAAGAAATCTCTCATCCTCAGTCATGACTGTCCCCTCAAGGAACAGGCCGTGTCAGGAGAGAGACTCCAGCCCTGGGGGAGATGGGTCGCCAAGTAAAGGATGCTGAGCCTGTCAGGGAGCCTGTGAGGGGTTGGAGAGTGGGTATAGGGGTTCAGGGCCTCTCTGGTGTTTCCCAGCATGACAGACTTCATGACTCCCCACCATGCCTGAGGCCAAGCCACCTTCTCTGTCTCCGTGGGCAGCTCTGTGACCCTACGCAACACACCCAGTGGCCCTCAGTGATTCCATCTCTAACCCCCACCCCTCCCTGAACCAACTTCCTTGGGGTCCAGGACCAGAAAGCTGGAGCCAGGCTCAAGGCTCGAAATACTCCCAAGTCCATCATCACCCACCAAGAGTGCTGACTCACCGCCTTCACCTGACACTCTCCCTTCCCAGGAGGAAAGCTTGAAGAGGCTTTCTTTGTAACTCTCTGAGTACTCTTGACCCACTCAAGGCCACCCTAGAGTCAAAGCAGGGAGTGCTTCATCATCATAAATTCCTGCTTGGGGCCCAGTGACCGTGGATGCCTGCTGGAAGAGCTCTGAGCCGGGAACAGGGGACCTGGGCATCTCCTGGCTCTGCCGTTGATCTGCTGTTTGGCCTGGACTCCTTCCTCATGTATCTCTGGGGAGACTCACAGAGCCCTAGAGCTGGGAGAAAACTTGGCAATCTGCAGGTCAAGCCTTCCCCTCGGGCTGCTGAGAAAACACTGACAGGTGGGCTTAACGTGGTGTCTGTGCTGTGTTGGGACCCAGGATGCTTTACAAACCCGAGTGGGGAAATGGGCCTGCTAATGTGTGTGCCTGCCCTGCACGTGAGCCAGAACAAGACACCCAACAAAGCTTCCGACCAGAAAACATTCAGCCTTGCGCAGGAGAGGGGCTCTGGCTATGGAGGTTGTCAGGACTCCAGACTGCAGGAGGAGCATGGAGTCGGTGTCGTTACGGGAGACCTGTGTTCCAGCCTGGCTTCACCACCTGCCCTGTGCTCCAAGGCTGAGCCTCTCTGGGCCTCTGCTTCTCAATCTGAGAAACGGGAGGACCTGATTTTCAGTCTGACCCACAGGTCAGGAGTGAGGTTCAAGTGAGATGCCTTGGTGTGTAAAAGGGAAACTGCAGAGATGTGAGCTCTTTCTGGGGTGAAGACCTCTGAAAGGGGGACCCTATGCTGTTTGTCAACTGCTCTGAGCCCTCCTGGATTAACCTTTGCCTCATTTGTAAAACCACCAGCACTTGGCGGGGGGCGGGGGGTGGGGATAGGGGAAGGCCAGTGGGCTCTGATGGACACAGAATTCCAGGTTTATTCCCATCAGCTGGTAGGTTTTTCTGGAGATAGAATGAGGAGACTCCCAGATGGGTGATGTCAGTGTTTTCATGCCACCCCCATGAGAATCCTTCAAGGATCTGGGACATCCTTCAAGTAGGCTGTGTGCCTGCCTTTCTTCTTCCCCTTAACTCGACGTCCTGGGATGTGTCCACGCTTGGCCTTGTGTGTCTTGTCTTATGTCTGTCTTCTGTAGCTTTGCCCCTGTGAGGGCTGGAGTGAGGACGCCGCTGGCACCCCAGACTTCAGGCTTGCTGTGGGAGTTGCACCCACCTGGGTCTCATCTCCCACAATAAAGATAAGCCCCACAGACCTCACTGCTACTGCTGTGCTCACAACCTTGTCCGGGATTTTAAGGATGTCAAACTGCTGTAGATGACTCAATAAACGTCTTCTCATTTTTCCTGGTGGCTGTAATTGGCAGATGTGGAGGGCAGAGAGGAGGGGAGGTAGAAGGGGAGGAAGTCTGATCCCCCAGAGGAATCCAGTCTTCAAGGTCCTGTGGCCTTTTCCAGTGAGCTTAGAATGGACTTGGAAAAGTAAAGTCCTGACCTCAAAAGGACCTGCAAGGATCATGCAACCTGAGCGGAATCGAGGTCACTTGGATGTTTTGGGGGCTCCTGGAAATGGAAGCAGCTCACCTCACAGTCCTTCTTGCCTCATGGCCTTTATTTGTATGATTTTTTATGAGAGTGGCCCCTAAATATCCCCAAAGATTGCCTGAACTGACACTTCATTAGCACTATAGGTAACCATAGGTTGCCAGAGTCCCAACCCCTAATGTTTCTGGGTGCTTCAAATCATCAGCCCCGCCAAAACAGATAAGCAATTCCATGGAACCCCCATTTCCTTGAGTTTCTATTGATTTTCATAAGTTCCAATGCCCATAGTTACATTAGACTTTTTAGTTTCTAACAATAGAAGGTCATGTTGGCTGATAAATCAGAAAAAGAGTTCAGCAGAAAAAATATCGCACAGCTTGTAGAATTCTGAGGCTGGAGAAACCAGAAAAGGGTCTCAGGCCTTCCTTTCTCCTGGAACTGACAGCAGAGCTGTTGACCGCTGTTGCTGCTCTCAACCCAGGGATGGCTCTTCTGTGCCAGGGACCAGCCTCACGGTGACCATTTTTGATAGCAAATGGCTTTGCTGTCACTGTCTCCAGCAGCTTCAATTCCCCATCCAGCCTCTTGGCCTCCCGTTGCTCACGTCTGAATCCAAGTCTCACATGAGTCCATCAGACTGGTTGTGTTCTCTCTACAATGAGGCTGGAAATTTGACTTTTCTGGGTTCTACCTTGGGGAGGTCAGCCTCATGTTATCTGGAGAATTTCTAGATTTAACAATAGTGTTTAAAAGTCCTGAAATGATAAATGCCTACCACCGCAGGCCTGAGATCTGTGGCAATTGCAGAGCCAGCCCCCTGTAGTGTTCAGGTGGGCCACTCTGAGGAAGTCAAGTCAATGGAAGGATAAATCCCAACCCACCTGCATGTGGTTCCTACAGCCAGACAGACTCCTCGCCGAAAGCTCCCAGGTCTCTGGTGGGGGTGTGCCCCACAGCTGGGGGGCAGGCTGGTTCTGCTGTCTAGGGTTACCCCTGCTCTTTCCTCTCCAGGTCCACACAGATGATTCTCCTAGAGCTTAGAAAAATATTCTCACCGATGTGACCATGATGCAGTGAGACTCTACATGTTTCATTCTCAGAGAGAGGTCACACTCAAGAAGTAAAGATAAAGGCTTGAATTCCATCTTAGACTTGAATTTCTTGGCACCCAAAGACTTAGTACAGATGAGCACTTATCAAATCCTATTTCCTCTATCCATTCCCCCCAGTTGATCAACTATTCCAGCTCTTTTCTCCCAGACCCAGTAAAATGTACTTTCAACCCTAGTTATTCCTGATGATGCTCTCTGCTCCTGGTAATATGAGCAATTCCTTTTGGGAACTCAGTGGTTCTCAAGTTTTAGCATGCATCAGAATCACACAGGAGGTTAATAAAATACAGTTTGCTGGGCTCACCTTCAGGATTTCTGATCCAAGTTTGAGGTAGGCATGATAATTTGCAATTATAAGAGGTTCCCAGACATTCTACCTGTCATACCTGAGGATAGGACCTGGGCATCTTAGCCCCTTTTAGGAAACCTTGGAGCTTGACAGTGATTAACTTCCCCCTATGGGGAGGACAAGCAGGAACACCCACAACATGAACTTTAAATGACTTTTTCTTCCCAGGCCACTGTTTTGGGGACCAAAAGCAGAAAGCTCCAAGAGAAAATCAGCCCATGGATGTCCATTTATTTTCTTTTTTCCTATTTACTTTCAATTTAAGTATAAAACCATCTCTGACTCAACTAGGATTGAGTTCAGTATGCTATAGAAGAAAAATTCCAATGAAAAGTGACTTCGAGAAGATAGAATTTAATTTTTCTCACATCAAAGTAGTCCAGAAGAGGCATTCCAGAATTGTATAGTGGCCATGTGGTCTCTCCAAGGACTCAAGCTTCTCCCTTTCTGCTCCTCCATCCTTAGCATATGACTTCCAGGCTCAAGGTCACCTCATGGTCCAAGAATGTCTCCTGGAGATCTGGATGTCTCCAGACTCAGGGGAGAGTAGAAGAAGGCAAAAGGTTCTTCCTTCTAGTTTTTGAAATTTTCTTTTTGGAAGAAGCCTCACATCTGCTCACATCTCGTTGGCTCAGTTAATCACACGGCCACATTTCAACACAGGTGATGGTATGCCCCCCTAGGAAAACTGGGAGAGAGAATGGATGCTGGCTGGCAAACAGTAGTTTGTGCTATAGTCTCAAAACCCCAGGTCTTTCAGAATTTAGGTGGTGGTCACTGAGCTCGTCCACATTGTGAGAAACTGGAGGCTAACTGATGACACTGACGTCCCACTGAGAACAAACTGGAGGATGCAGTCTCCAATCTGGACCAAAGAATACCTCGTGAGGGTCCCCAGTCAGAATTGAGGGAGCTGCTTACACCCACTCACAGGAACCTACTCTGATGTGAAGTGTGAGGTATGTGGGCATGTTCGCGTCACTTCTGGTTTCTTCCATCCTTCTTTCTCTCCCATGGCTGCGTTTCCTGAGTGGATTCTGCTCCCTTGTGGCCTCTATGTTATTTCATCTCTTTTTAATTTGGAGGATCATCACAGCGGTGATGTAGTTCAGAATTTTTTTTTGTCTTTTAATTTTTGTCAGTTGTCCTCAAGTGAACCCAATTTAGGAGCTTCTGAACTTCTCAACTATCTTTGACTGCCCCCTAGTGGGTGCCTCTCATAACCATTCTTCTGATCAACATCCCCTTCCCCTCTCCCCAGCCCAATCCTAGATATGAGATTAAGAATTGGATGTGTGAAACTCAGTAACCAAGAGTTCTTCTAACTTTTAGGATGTGGTCTTATAGATGCTCATATGAAGATAGTTTTTCTTGGTCTCTTGAATGGCACCCCACTCCAGTACTCTTGCCTGGAAAATCCCATGGATGGAGGAGCCTGGTAGGCTGTGGTCCATGGGGTCGCTAAGAGTCGGACACGACTGAGTGACTTCACTTTCACTTTTCACTTTCACACATTGGAGAAGGAAATGGCAACCCATTCCAGTGTTCTTGCCTGGAGAATCCCAGGGACGGGGCGGCGGGGGGGGGGGGGGGGCCTGGTGGGCTGCCATCTATGGGATCACACAGAGTCGGATATGACTGAAGTGACTTAGCAGCAGCAGCAAACTTCTACAAAGCATAGGCTTGGGGTGTCAATATTTTTAGAAGGAGGATGGTGGCAATAAGGCTTGTACTTTTCATTTACTCAACAAAAACCTGTTGAGCATCTAGCTTTTCATTCACCAATTATTCCTTGACAGTCTACCATGTGCCAGGAGCTGTTCTGTCACTGGTGAGCATCACCGGTGAGATGAGGGCCCTGTTCTCAGGAACTTACATTCTAAGTAGAGAAGAAAAGAAAAGAGACAGTTTCAGATAGAAGGAAATGTTATGAAGAAAATTAAGCAGCTAGGACCCACCCTAATCCAGTATGACCTCATGTTAACTCATTACATCTTCAAAATCCCTGTTTCCAAATAATGTCACATTGATAGGTTCCTAGAGTTAGGACTCCAGTGTGTCTTTGGGGGGTGGGGTGGGGACACAGTTCAGTGCCCAGTGAAAGGAAAGAGAGTCTGAAGCTTCACAAACTTCACAATGCTTTGACTGAGATGATATGGAAAAGATGGGGGTTGATAATGGATATGTGGGGCAAGATAGAGTGACAGCCTCCTCTCACCCACAGTCACCTCCTGGCACCACTGATGGGTTTCAATAATAATAATAATAATAATAATAATAATAATAAAGGAAAAACATGTATTGGCCCTAACTCACCCTGGCCCTGATTTGGTCCCTTTTTGAGTATTTCTCATGGAAATTGACTGGCTCCTAATAGTCCATCGCCTGCTAGATCACAAGCCACACAGCAGCATCCAGATCCTTAGAGGGCTCTGTCTCAGCTGGTGAAGCAGGTTGAACACTGACCTTCTCTCACTGTTCCAACAACCCCAACTGTCCAAGAAACTGACAGCCCATTTCAAAGCAGAACCAAAAGCAAACCAAAACAATGCTTTGATAGCCACATACACTCATGGATGCCAGAAGACGCATATAAAATCATCATTTACATCTTTTATTCTGACTCACATAGACTCTCTTAGGGATTGGGAGTGATGCCTCAGCTTTAGTTGGCTTATCCCCCACAAACTCAGTGGAAAGC